TATCTTCCTCCTTCGAGCGCACCCTCCTCGGCTGGGAGAATGGATGGAGACCTGTGGGAAGCTATATTGAAGCAGGTTCGGCGCATGGGTCACAAGCGCCCGATTCGTGCGTCTCACGTCTTTTGTAAGCGTTACGCCTGCTACGGTACACAACGGGGCAGGCTCTCAAAACACAACGCTGTAAACCATGGAATCCCATCAGCCCTCTGGACGTTGGTGACCTCACGGTTGTTTTCTTTCCTCTTCCATTCCCCTTTTCTTCTTCCTCTCCAAGAAGGGATTTGTCACTTTTCCGAATTAACACATACCCCTGCCCCAGGCGACCGGCGGCCAACCAGGAACCATACTCACCCACCCCCCAACATCCCGATCAAAACACAATACACAAAGCACTCCCTCTGAATTCGGAACATGCGCAACCAACCCGATGCGCCCCCCCCCCCCCACATCCCTGTAAAAGACAATACAACATACACTGTGGGGCAAAGTCTGGAGTCAAGTTCGTGAGGCCCGCGAGCACTTTGTATGGTTTTGTTGACAGGGACGGCGGGGGTATCAGCATGTAGCCTGCTGTGCGCAGGCAGGGCTACTATCCGTGACAAAACACAATACAAAATGCAACTCGCGGCTAAATCTGGATCGTGCGCGGCCACCCCGCGATCATTGTCAAGTGGTTTTTGACAGGGACGGGTGGGGGGTGGGCGTATGGCCTGCTGTGCGCAGGCCCACCAGACACAATGATGGGCATTGGCTTTCGACAAGGATGGTGGGGGCCGGCATGTTTCCCGATGTGTGATGTCACGTGCGCAGGCGCACCTGACACACTCTGAACGTGCCCCGAAAGTGGCGCACCTGGCGCGGCTGGAGTATGTATGCGGCACACCTGGTGCACGCGGAGGCACGTGGCTCATCTGGCGCATAAGGCGTGCCTGGCACGCTCGGGCCCCAGGGGCGCGTGGCTCACCTCGCCCCAGCGTTGCGCACATGGGCTCGGTTTTGGTTCCCAGTAGCTGTCCATCCAAAGACGACCGCTGAACATGCTAATGCTCGGGTGATACTGATGTCTTGGGAGGGCGGGTGGGAGTGAGCTAGACGGATTGTTATCTTGAGGGTGTGTTGACCCCGCCCCCTACCCCCAGGGGGATGGAGGTCAGGGGGTCCTTTTTGGCCCAAGATGGCTCCAGAAAAGGCCTCTGATGCTCCAAAACAACCTCCAAAATGGTTCAAGATAGCTCCCGACACACGGCAAGACCTAGGACAGAACAACACCATTCAAAAACATAAAACTTTCCGCCAGCCAAACTGAAGGACATTCGAAAGTATCCTCCCCCCAGGATGCGCAAAAACATCCAACAAACACGAAGCATTAGGGTACCCTCCCAGAGCCGACCTCGATCTGATATCTCGGTCCGACCGTATCTCCAATAGGCCCCAGGAGGGCCTCAAGACGGCCCCAAGTGCCTTCGGAACCACCCGAAGATCCCCCAAAGAGCACCACATCCCGATGAATTGTGCCTTGTCGCCTGCGCGGCGGATGGGCTTCTGAGGCCTCAAGATGGCCCAAGAGCGTTCCAAAAAACCCCAAGAGGGCTCCAATATACGGTTAAGTTAAGAGACCCCCTTGGCCCCCAAGATGGCCCCAGGAGACCCTGCAGGGCTCCCAAGGGGTCCAAAAGGGCCCCAAGATCCCCCGAACTAGCCCCAAGGGAGCCCCAAGAAGGCTCCGAGAGAATTCCCCCCCCAAAAAAACCCAAGATGGCCTCAAGAATATCATCTTTCATCGGCAGCGTTTCGAAATGGGCTGATAAGGCTTTTTTGGTTCGCGAGCGCAAACGGAAGGGCCGCGCGCCGCCCAAAGCTACAGCTAACCATGGCTGATGGGGATACTGTTGGTCAACAGGCTCGCGAAGCAGGTCGAAAGCCGTCCGAACACCAGTCGGGCCTCGACTAGGCAGCAAGAAAAGAAAGGCAAGCGAAACGAGCGAGCGAGCAACCACTCAGAAGGAGAGCCAGAACCGATACTCCCAAACCCGGTGGCGTTGGAAATCCCGGTGGCGACCAGCAAGTAAGCGCAGCCAAAATGGCGCGGCGGCGCGACCATAAACACGCAGAAGTCGATCGCTCGGTGTGAGTCAGGCAAACAGCACCGTCAGAGACGATGGCTGATGGGGATACGCGAGGCGTGAAGAATGAGAGGACTCTCGGAATAGGACTCAAGAGGCTGTGGGACGGACGTCGCCCGTCCAATGCAGCGCGGCCCCGACGACAGCGACGGTGACGCCCATGGCGACGACAGCGACGAGGACGTGGTTGCGGACGACGGCGACGGCGGCGGCGCCGACGACGCCGGCGACAGCGGCAGCGGCGGCGATGGGGACGGCGACGAGAAGCTCACTGAGCCCCTGGCGGCGCCGGCGGCTCCTGCGAGTGCGGCGAGGGTGACACCACGACCTCCGCGCGCGCGTCGCGCGTCGCGCGGCCCTCGGCGGAGACCCTCGGGCGGCCCTCGCTGACTTTTGCGAGGGGTCCAGTCCGTTGGATGCCTCATAAATCCTCGCTGGGAGGCGAGGATCCAGTACAGTGAGATTGTCGCAGGAAGCTATGGCCCTGGGACCGAGAATCCCTGCACGTTCGCGGGGGACCGTAGCCGGGGGATTGTAGCCGTTGGAGAGAGCATCTCTTCAATTTTACGAACAGCAGGAGGAGAAGGAGGAGGAGAGAGACAGCTACCTACCCAGACCCCGGACGTCACGATTGTTTCACAACGTCGACCCCAGGAGGTCTCGGCCCATTCCCTGCGACCTGTTTTTCATCCTGAGTTGTTTTTTTACGCTCCCAGGGCCCGGTAAGGGCCCCTGGAGGCCGAAAATTGCGAAAAACCTTCCGGCATGACTTTTGTCATGACCCAAGGGGGACTGGGTACAGGGCCCCAACGAGACCTACATTGTTTTACTTCGAGCGATCCCCACAAAAGAACGCGAGGCAGGATACCCAGGGAGCTCCAGGCATCTTGGGGCCTGGTGGCCGCGCAATGCAGCCGTGGTTCGTCGCAGACGCGGGGCGGGATACGATCCAGGGGGCACCGGGCCCCTCGAGGCCTGGCAGGGCTGAATCTAAAAACGGTGTGTTTCCATCTAAAAAGATGGCCAACACACCGTTTAGGTCCAGCCCTGGGGCCTGGTGGCCCAGGTATGCTGGGCGTGCGAGGCGCGTCGGGAGCATTTTTGGAGGCCTCCTGCCCAGACCTCCTCGGGTCATGACAAAATCACGACGGGAGGTTTTTCTCGATTGATCTTCGGCCTCTGGAGGCCCTCACTGGGCCCCGGGAGCGTCCAACAACGACTCGGGATGAGAAACTGGTCCCGGGGAAGGGACCTCTGGGGGTCAACGTTGTGAAACAATCACGACGTTGGGGGTCTAGGTAGATGGGGTCGGAGCAGATGGGGTCGGAGGATCGCGCCGCATCACCGATGCGTCGGCGATGCATCGGCGACGCCAGCGTGGACAAAACAGTGCTCCACACCGAGCACCATCGGCGATGCATCGGCGATGCGGCGCGACCCTCCAGCCCCATCTGCTCGGACCCCATCTGGCAGGCCTGGTAGTTTCGTTTGAGCTCAGACTACGTTGTGCTTCAAGCGATCCCAGCCCGAGAACGCGACGCGGGATACCCATGGCGCCCCAGGTCCCTTGGGACCTGGCGGTCGCGACGTGCAGTCGTCCCTCGTCGAGGGGGGGCACTCAGGGAGCATTGGGCCCCTCGGAGCCTGGTGGTCGCGGTGTGCACGGTGTGCGAGGCGGGGGGGGTCACTGTTCTTGCAGCATCACAGCCCCAACCGTCGGGTGGAGAGCAACCCGAGCCTGTCGGGCGGGCCACAAGAACACCTGCAGTGGAGAGCGACACGTCCAGAGTGGAGGACTCCGCTCCAGAGAACAGAGGCCACACGTTCAATACTTGATCTGAAGATCTTGGACTCTGTAGAACAAGCTTGAACCCTGCGACAACCTTCACGTACTCAGGGCCGGTTCGATGCCCCAAGAGTCCTTCAATCCCCCTCTTGACCCTGTCAAGCCCTCCTCCTCTCCCTCCTCTTTCTCCATCACTCCCTCCAATTTCCTCCTTCTCCTCATTCCCCTCTCCACGGGACGACGACGACCACCGCCACGAACATGCCGACGACACACACGACGAAGACGACGACCACGACCGTCACGACCACGACCATGACGGCCACAACTAATTACCACGAGGACCATAGCGACGATGACCACGACCACGACGATGGCGGCAAACCCTTCCCTCCCGATCCCTCCTGCTTTTCTCCTTCATGGCAGCGCGGAAGGCCACCGCTACGACGGCCACGCCGACGACAACCACGCCGATTACGACCACGAAGACTACCACGAAGATCACGACGACGACGACGACGACCAGGAACCACGACGCAAACCACCAAAACGGCAACGACTGCACAGCGGCGACGACGTCGACCAGCCCGAGGCACAAGACCACTGCGGCGGCGACGACGATCGGGGAGACGTAAGACTCGGGCTCGGAGGACTCGGGTCGGCCTGACGGGGCCGTCAAGGAAATGGCGAGACTCACTCTGAAATTTGACGTGAACTCCTGCTGCCAACACTCCACGAAAAATGGAACGTAAAAATGCAGGACGGGCCCGTCAAAAAGCGTCGGCGAACCCGAGTTCTGGCAACCTCGAGTCTTGCGTTTCTCCGTAACGCCTGACGTTGACCCTGATGACGTCCTCCCCCTTGACGGGGTCGTGCCTTGCTCGACCGATCCTCGACACTCCACTCTCGACCCTCGATCCTTCATCCTCGATCCCCGATCCTCGATCCTCGATCCTCGATCCTCGATCCTCGACCCTCGATCCTCGATCCTCGACCCTCAACCCTCGACCCTCGACCCACCCCTGATGACGACGACAGCGACGGCGACGGCGACGGCGGCGGCGGTGGCGACGGCCGCCGCTGCGGGGCGCCTCGGCGATGGGCGACAGCTCCGGGCGCGAGCGCCCGGCGGCCGCTGGCGGGCGCGCCTGCGCGCAAAGGCTTGCCGCCGCCGCAGCGCCGTGTCGGCCGACGTCGCCGAGCTGCGTCGCTGCGGCGTCGGTCGCTGTCGCGCCGCGGCTCCGCCGCCGCGGCCGTCGGCGGGCGCCGCCGCCGCCGTCGGGCCACTGCGGAGTGCTCGCCGCGCCGCCGTCTGCGCTGCGGCGGCGGCGGCTGGCGGCGAGCGGCCGCGGCGTCGTCGCGGCCGGTCGGCCAGACGGCAGCGGCGGCGACGTCGGCGGCGGCGTCGGCGAGGGCGGCCGCGACGACCCTGACATGCTGGCGACCAAATATTTTCGAGCCGGGCGTTTGCGCCAGGCTTCGGGCCACGGGCCCCTCACAGGTCGGTCCAGGTCGAGGGACACAATAGAAACAGATAGGTCCAGGGCTTCGGCCATGACTTTCCTTCGCGATGCCGCAATTTGCCCGCGACGCTGGATCTCAGGGAACCCCGAAGAACACGACCGACGCTGACGATCCCAACGACGACGACGGTACAGACGACCTTGAGGTAGAGGCCTCCTAGATGAAGTCCGAAAAGATGGGGTCGGAAGATCGCGCCGCATCGCCGATACATCGGCAATGCATCGGCGATGCATCGGCGATGCACCAGCGATGCATTTTCGACGTGGGCGATGCATTGGCGACGTCAACGTGAAGGAAAGTGGGCTCCACATCGAGCCGCATCTGCGATGCATCGACGATGCGGCGCGATCCTCCGACCTCGTCTACTCGGACCCCATCTAGGAGGCCTAGATGAGGCCCAACACTGCGAACAGAGGCACCATCGTGAGAAACCACGACGACCAGAGCGCCGTGGACCCCATCTTCCTGCGGCACTGCCCGAGCAAGCACGATCCCTAGACCCCCGACGTCGTGCTTCCTTCGCGACGTTGCCCCCCCTTAATTACCCAGGACCGGTTTCTCCTCTGGAATCGACTCCAGAGGAGAAACCGGGCCCTCTGGAAGCGGGAAATAGCGGAAAACATCCCGCGTCGTGATTTTGGTTCACAACCCTGTATTGATAATCCCCAAACGTGGTGGTGACAACACCAGGCGGTGAGTCTCGGGCGATTTGTTGTCACCACCCGGTTTGGGAACTCACGTGGTTTTTCGAGGATGTCCCGAACCCTGGCGGGTCCAGGAGTCACAAAACCCGGCGGCGACCCCGTGTTCCAAAACCCGGCGGGGACACCACCTGATTTGGGGGCTCCCGACTACACGGGATCGGGGACCCGTGGGGGCCCCGGGGCCCAGAGCGAGGGCAGAGCCCGCCCGTATATGGCGCAGAAGAAATTTGCACCGCCAGGATCGCTCCCCAGCGCCAACGCCGCCGACGCCGAGCGAGAGGCGGCGGCTGGCGGCCCCTGCTTTGATGGGCACCAAAAGGACCCCTGACCCTTTGGGAGGGGAGCAAACCCTGAGATCCTGACGCCTCACTTTTTTCGAGCTGGGCGTCTTCGCTGAATTTCCGGCCCCGGAGCTCTCACACATCGACCCGGCCCGAGAAAGGACGCAGAAAGATGGGGTCTGGGGCTCTGGTCGTGATTTTGTTGCGATGTTGCATGTTTGCTTGCAACGACGCATCTGAGGGAAATTTGGCGGGCCAGAAACATCAGGGATACGGGGTCTTTTCTGCTGATGTGTCGAACCAAGCCGCCCTGATCTATGATCCTTCTAGTGCGAAGACGGGGACCTCAGGCTGACCTTGGGGAGGCTACGTCTTCACCGTGTTGTTAGGGTTAGGGGTTCTTGAAATTATCCTCGATGATGTTTCATGCGGCGATTCCCGAGCCGGAGCGGTCCGTCCGCGGGCCCAGAACGAGGCCAGAGCGCCCGTGGCGGACAACACACGACGCCAGCCCGATCCGACGCTCCGACAAAAATCGGAGCGGCAGGTTCTTGGCCGTTTGCGGCCTCCAGTCGGGCCGGGCGCAAGGGGGAGTTTGAGAATCAGCTCACGTAGCTGATTTTCCCGGCGCCTCCCGGCGCCGGAGGCGGCCGTGTATCGAGGAATGGGCCCCTCGGTGGGGCCGAAACCAGCTGCATGCAGAAAATGTCATACCCCCCCCCCCCTTTCCCTATCCCCCCCTTTCGTCCAGCCCGATCCAGGGCTCTCGCTGGGCCTCGGGACCGTCGAAACACGTCTCAGGACGCAACACAGGCCGGCCCTATTCGGGGATGGACAGACCCCCCTTTAGCAAAACGTGGTTTAGTGAAAACGACCTGAGGCTCAAACCTGGCGGGCGCAAGCCTGGAAAATAACGGCCACGGAGCCCTTTCGAAAACCGAAAACGGACAATTCACTAATCGACGTGTCACTGGTGGGGGTTCTGTCCACCCCCGACCTATAGGGAAGTGGTGCAGATCTCCGGCGCCCACGCATCGAAAAAGTTGGAGCAGCTGGATGTCTGGGACCGCCCGTGGCGAAACACTGCGACGGGGAGTGGTGCAGATCTCCGGGGCCCACGCACCGAAAAAGTTGGAGCAGCTGGAGACCTGGGACAACCAGCGGCGAAAAACTGCGACGCCAAGACACCTGGCGCTCAATGTTTCTCGATGCGTGGACCCCCCGGAGGTCTGGACGGCTTCCTCCGCTGGTTCTTCGTCCTTCGTTCTTTGTGGCGGTTCCCGGGGTCCGTGGAGGGCCCCCGGAGGCCGAAAGTAGCCGAAGACCAGCCTCACCGTTTTTTTCGGAGCCTCGGATCTCGAACGCCAGCGACGCCGAGCGGCTGCGGCCAGCGGCCAGCGGGGCATTCCAGCGCCGATCCGAGAGACCCGCGCGGACCTCCGTCAGTTTCTGTGTGTGTGCAGATTGGTGTTCCTCCACCCGCCCGCGCGGCCAGCCGACGAACCACGCCGCGACCCGCCCGCCGCGACGCCCCTGGGGCGCTCCGCGCGCCAAGGAAGGGGGGCCCAGCGCCAATCTAGGAAATCCGCGCGGACCTCCGGAAGTGTACACGTCGGTCGGAAGAAGTAGGTAGAAACATGACGTAGGAGGGAGGATCCAATATTTTGGGTTCAGGACCTCCCAAATAATAACAAAACAAAGCAAGAGCATACCGATTCTTGAAGTAGTAGGCAGGCGCTCGAAGTATACTGAAATATGGGAATCCAGAAAAAATGCTTT